CCGTTGTTGGGGTACTGCCCCTGAATTTGTAATTTTAAAAATATTTTTGCAGTTTTTGGTTATTATCTTCAATATTATTATAGATAGAGATTAACTTTAAATAGCAATAATGTACAGCAAAGTAAGATATACAAATAAGTCAACATGACCAAAATGGTCAATTGATCCCTTAAGGAGTTATTGCCTTTTAAAATAAATTTTTAACAATTTTTTGTAAATTTTTGTAATCTTTACAAAAATCTTCTCCGCTAAAATTACTGAGACAAATTTAACCAAACTTGGCCACAATCATCATTAGGGTATCTCAGTTACAAAATGTGTCCGGTGACCACGCCTACCAACCAACATGGCCGACATGGCTAAAAATAGAACATCGGGGTAAAATGCAAGTTTTGTCTATTATTTTTTGAACCGTTTTAAATAGAGAAAATCTGAAAATAGCAAAATGTTCAGAATAATGAGCTCTACCAATTGTCCATATATGTCAAAACTGTTAGACAAATTCTTATAGGAGTGATTGCCCATAAATGACAAATTTTACCATTTTTTTCATTTCTGCCTATAATCATGAAATTATGATATTAAGAGAGAAACGTTTTTTTACAATGATCTGATTCCAAATATCATACTTCCAAGTACTAAACCATGTGTATGATCGACGTACACTGATCTGATTCCAAATATTATAAGTCCAAGTACGCAACCATGTGAATAGAGGAACTCAAGCCGTGATGATAGGGGTAGCATATCCTGTTATTCAAAAGCACTAACCTTTTGTTTGAATTTTAATGGGATGGGAGGGGAAAATAACACAGAACACTCCCCCTCCCCCCCAATTTCCACACATAACACATCAAAAGGTCAAGATGTGGTTTTCAACATCATACATCAATCAATACTCAATATGTTATCCAATCCATATCAATTTGACGCATCATTCGAATTACAGACACCCCTTTACGAGATTCCTTACTTTAGGAAGACAACAGAAGATCTCAACTCTTCCTGTTTTCAAATCTTGATATATGAAATATCAAAACTTTAAGTTACCTGTTAATTAATTGAATACTAGAAAATCACTTAATATTCCAAATGGTGTTATTGATTCAAAAACAACTGAGTTTGTTGTTGTAAAAACGGGTCTTGATATAAGAATGAAAATAACACTTTAAAAACCACTCGAAATTACTATGCATTTCCTAAAAAAATGCAATATTTATAAAGAATGCTCGCAGCTAATAAAACAAGCTAATACTTCCTTAATTTCCTCAGTATATTTCGTACAACAAGGGCATACTTGTAACAAATGGTTGAACATGTCCTTGTAGCACTCTTATAACAAACGGGTGTACATGTACCTGTCTGTAGAAGTCTGGCTGTACCTATAGCACTTTTATAACAAACGGGTGTACATGTACCTGTAGCACTCTTATAACAAACGGGTGTACATGTACCTGTAGCACTCTTATCACAAACGGGTGTACATGTATCTGTAGCACTCTTGTAACAAACGGGTGTACGTGTACCTGTAGCACTCTTACAACAAACGGGTGTACATGTACCTGTGGCACTCTTATAACAAACGGGTGTACATGTACCTGTAGCACTCTTATAACAAACGGGTGTACATGTACCTGTCTGTAGAAGTCTGACTGTGCCTGTAGCACTCTTATAACAAACGGGTGTACATGTACCTGTCTGTAGAAGTCTGACTGTGCCTGTAGCACTCTTATAACAAACGGGTGTACATGTACCTGTCTGTAGAAGTCTGACTGTGCCTGTAGCACTCTTATAACAAACGGGTGTACATGTATCTGTCTGTAGAAGTCTGGATGTGCCTGTAGCACTCTTATAACAAACAGGTGTACATGTACATGTAGCACTCTAATAAAAAAAACGTGTGTACATGTACCAGTGTGTAAAAGAGTGAGCAGATCCTGCTTTACGCGTGGGACCTGTCATGTTCCTCAGGAAGGTAGAGACCCGATTGTAATGTCACTTTCTTGAAAAAAGAGGTCGGATTGTGGTTACATTATTAGGAACATATCCGTCGTCACTTGTGAAACTTATATTCCATAACGATCTACTAATTCGTGTCTGTAAAATTTTCGAAGGGATGATTTCAAGTGCACCACTTAGAACTTTTCGTTTAAAGCTCCCTTGTAAGCAGCTAACCTCTATTAAGGAAATCATGTTAGGAAATGAAAGGTCTTGAATATCGTTTCAACTTGGAAATATATACTCCATATGCAGGCGTAGCTGGATCGTTACTTCATAGAAATGGAAAGTTGACAAGTGTGAAGCTGAAATATTTTCTTTTGACGTAAAGTTTCAATTTCTGTAGATGTAAGATAAGATATCAGGCAAAGTCAGGAGCCTGTAGATGTCTGTCATATTCGTTTTTCGTAAATTGTTTTGTTATAAATAAGGCCGTTAGTTTTTTCAATTGAATTGATTCATATTTTTTAGGTCGGGGCTTTTTATAGCCGACCATACGGTAGGGGTTTTTCTCATTGTTGAAGGTCGTACGGTTGCCTATAATTGACTACATCCACTTTATTTGAACTTTGGTGGATAGTTGTCTCATTGGCAATCATACCACATCTCCTTATTTTTATATTAACTGTATGAGCTGTATCTCTTATTTCATGTTCGATGTGATAGATGCGTTCATCATAGTCACCAAACTTTGATTATACAGTGAGAAGAAAAGTTCTTTATGGCGGAACGCGAAGTTTATGGATAATGATAGCTTCTTTTCATTCTTGCGAAAGATCTCTTGTATGACGTCTGCCTCATATGAATAAATGAAACAAGAATTCTTATTACTAACAGGCTATATTTGTTTTTCGTTTTGATTTGTTTATTGGTTTCGTATAAATTAAACCGATGATTTTTCGTTAAAGTTGTTACACATTTTTCATGCCGGGGCCTTTTATAGATGACTATGCAGTATGGGTTTTGCTCACTGTTAAAGACCGTACAATGACCTATAGTTGCTTATATCCACGTCAGATGGACTCTATTGAATTGTTGTCTCATTGCCAATCATACCACATCTCCTTATGTTATATTGTGCCTTTCAAACGAATAGATTTGCACAGCATTTTAATGCAGAAGGTAAACAATATTCCGTCCCTTTCCATATACGAGCTACCATGAAAACGATAGGATTTAGTGTCCTATATGCTTAAACTTGCACTGACCTCTCATTTTCGTTTACCATAGATCGTAATTGATCAAAATGACATATATTCATCAAAATTAGATTATCTTTTCCCCAGGTTAATATGTATAATTCTTCTATCAGATATGTTTCCATTGATACCAGTTATCCGCTGCGCTGGTTCCCAGGTTGATTCTTGTAATAGTTCTATCAGAAGTATTTCCGTTGATACCAACAATCCTCGGCGCTGGTTCTCAAGTTAATTCATGTAACTATTCTATCAGAAGTATGTCCAGTTATTTGCTGCAACGGCTAGGTTCTGTAGTGTGTTTCCGACAGATATGATTTTCATTATTCTTCTCTGTAGATTTGCAATATTGTGTTTTGTCATTTAATCTGCAAGAAGCTCCTTGATATGTAATTAAGCACATGCATGGTTTATCAATTATTTAAAAAAATTTTATGGTGATGTTCTCTTTTACATTAGATCAGTTTTCCTATTCTTCGGAAGTTATGCTATTTGATGATATAATTTTTCACACCGACTACATCATTATTGATACATGTAACAGTGTATAGTGTCTGTGCGTATCATAGGTCTGTACGTATCATAGTTTTTGAACTTATCATAGGTCAGTATTTATCATAGGTCTGTACGTATCGTAAGTCTGTACGTATCGTAAGTCTGTACGTATCATAGGTTTGTACGTATCATAGGTCTGTACTTATCGTAGGTGTGTACGTATCATAGGTCTGTACGTATCATAGGTCTGTGCGTATCATAGGTCTGTACGTATCATAGGTGTGTACGTATCATAGGTCTGTACGTATCGTAGCTCTGTGAGTATCATAGCTCTGAAAGTTTCATAGGGCTGTACTTATCATAGGTCTGTACGTATCGTAGGTCTGTTCGTATCATAGGTCTGTTTGTATCATAGGTCTGTACGTATCATAGGTCTTTTCGTATCATAGGTCTGTTTGTATCATAGGTCTGTACGTATCATAGGTCTGTACGTATCATAGATCTGTACGTATCATAGATCTGTATTTATCATAGGTCTGTACGTATCGTTAGTCTGTACTTATCATATGTTTGTACTTATCGTAGGTGTGTACGTATCATAGGTCTGTACGTATCATAGGTGTGTACGTATCATAGGTCCGTACGTATCGTAGTTCTTTACGTATCATAGCTCTGAAAGTTTCATAGGTCTGTACTTATCATAGGTCTGTACGTATCGTAGATCTGTTCGTATCATAGGTCTGTTTGTATCATAGGTCCGTACGTATCATAGGTCTGTACGTTTCATAGGTCTGTACTTATCATAGGTCTGTACGTATCGTAGGTCTGTTCGTATCATAGGTCTGTTTGTATCATAGGTCTGTACGTATCATAGGTTTGTGTACGTATCATAGGTCTGTACGTTTCATAGGTCTGTACGTATCATAGGTGTGTACGTATCATAGGTGTGTACGTATCATAGGTGTGTACGTATCATAGGTCTGTACTTATCATAGGTCTGTACTTATCATAGGTCTGTACGTATCATATGTCTGTTTTTTTAACCTGTCTTTGTAGTACATTCTTCACATACAAATTAAAACATTTCTTAATTGTTGAAATGTTTCATAACGATATAATTCTGTTCGATTTTTGAACAAAGGAACATATTGACAATTATGATGGTTGATTTAAAATATATTATGTTACTTCTATCTAATTCCAAGTCTTGCACTTCTTTTTAATGAGATATATAGTTGTTAGATAACGTGAAGAAGATATTGACAATATTAATATATCTCTATGTATACATATGCGTTTGACTCGTTTCAGGTAGAAAAGGTCCTGTAATACCACCCAAGTTTTTACCTGTACCTAGACATATATCAGTTCACAGAGGGGAGACTGCAATGTTAGAATGTACTGTAGAAAACCTAGGAACTAAAAGAGTGTGTTGAATACGTATTTTCTTCTGTCTGTATTATCTGTTATTAGTTACGTTTTATATACATGAAATAATGTTTTAAAATTTCGACTACTAAGTGTTGTAAACTAAGTATCTTAGTACAACACAAAGCATTATAAAAAAGTCAATTAAAATTAGATTAATATTAGCATGATTTATATAATATCTACATTGTTATGTGTTGTGTTTTTATATCGACCCAACTATCGACTGTATCCAGAAGATCTACTATACTCAACTATCGACTGTATCCAGAAGATCTACTATACTCAACTCATTTTACCTTTTAAGATCCAGAAGATCTACTATACTCAACTCATTTTACCTTTTAAGATCCAGAGCTACTATACTCAACTCATTTTACCTTTTAAGATCCAGAAGATCTACTATACTCAAATTATGTTACCTTTTAAGATCCAGAAGATCTACTATACTCAAATCATTTTACCTTTTAGGAATCTATACGGTATGCTTCGGAAACCAATTGACTAAACCAATATCACTTTCATCCGGTTATTCAATATGACTTAACTAAACCAATATCACATTCATCCGGGTATTCAATATGACTTAACTAAACCAATATCACATTCAACAGGGTATTCAATAGGACTTAACTAAACCAATATCACATTCAACCGGGTATTCAATATCACTTAACTAAATCAATATCACATTCAACCAGGTATTCAATATGACTTAACTAAACCAATATCACATTAAACCAGGTATTCAATATGACTTAACTAAACCAATATAACTTTCATCTGGATATTCAATATGACTTAATTAAACCAATATCACATTCAACCGGATATTCAATATGACTTTACTAAACCAATATCACATTCAACCGGGTATTCAATATCACTTAACTAAACCAATATCACATTCAACCGGATATTCAATATGACTTAATGACGTAAACTAAATTTAAAAAAAGATACGTAAATGTAGTTATGGGAAAAAGGCCGGTAAAATAAAAAAGATATATTTGATTAATTTCAGGTTACATGGAGGAAAATTCCTTATATAACACCAATAACAACAGGTGAACAACTATTTGCTCAAGATAATAGATTTCAGGCCAAACATATCTCATGGAAACAGCAGTGGAATCTAAGTATTAAAAATGTACAGTTACATGATGCAGGGGTGTATGAATGTCAAGTTAGTGTGCGAGGGCAGATGCTTCGACAGAATATAACTTTATCTGTGATAGGTATGTTACCATATTAAGGTCATTAATGCTCGAAGCTTTCAAACTATTTTGCTGCCATGATTGGACAGATTAATACACAACATTAAGGTTTAAACCTTGCTAAAAACATTGCTGCCATGATTGGACAGATTCATACACAACATAAAGACTTAAAGCTTGCTAAAAACTTTGCTGCCATGATAAGACAGATTAATACACAACATAAAGACTTAAAGCTTGCTAAAAACTTTGCTGCCATGATTAGACAGATTAATACACAACATAAACACTTAAAGCTTGCTAAAAACTTTGCTGCCATGATTGGACAGATTAATACGCAACATTAAGGTCTTGCTAAAAACTTTGCTGCCATGATTGGACAGATTAATACATAACATAGAGACTTAAAGCTTGCTAAAAACTTTGCTGCCATGATTGGAAAGATTAATACACAACATAAAGACTTAAAGCTTGCTAAAAACTTTGCTGCCATGATTGGAAAGATTAATACATAACATAGAGACTTAAAGCTTGCTAAAAACTTTGCTGCCATGATTGGAAAGATTAATACACAACATAAAGACTTAAAGCTTGCTAAAAACTTTGCTGCCATGATTGGACAGATTAATATACACGTAAAGACTTAAAGCTTGCTAAAAACTTTGCTGCCATGATTAGACAGATTAATACATAACATAGAGACTTAAAGCTTGCTAAAAACTTTGCTGCCATGATTGGAAAGATTAATACACAACATAAAGACTTAAAGCTTGCTTAAAACTTTGCTGCCATGATTAGACAGATTAATACACAACATAAACACTTAAAGCTTGCTAAAAACTTTGCTGCCATGATTGGACAGATTAATACACAACATAAAGACTTAAAGCTTGCTAAAAACTTTGCTGCCATGATTGTACAGATTAATACACAACATAAACACTTAAAGCTTGCTAAAAACTTTGCTGCCATGATTAGGCAGATTAATACACAACATAAACACTTAAAGCTTGCTAAAAACTTTGCTGCCATGATTGGACAGATTAATACAAAACATAAAGACTTAAAGCTTGCTAAAAACTTTGCTATCATGATTTGACAGATTGATACATCACATTAAGGTTTAAAGCTTGCTAACAACTTTGCAGCCATGATTGGACAGATTAATACACAACATTAAGGTTTAAAGCTTGCTAAAAACTTTGCTGCCATGATTGGACAGTTTGATACACAACATTAGGGTTTAAAGCTTGCTAAAAACTTTGCTGCCATGATTAGACAGATTAATACACAACATTAAGTTTTAAAGCTTGCTCAAAACTTTGCTGCCATGATTGGACAGATAAATACACAACATTAAGGTTTAAAGCTTGCTCAAAACTTTGCTGCCATGATTGGACAGATTAATACATAACATAGAGACTTAAAGCTTGCTAAAAACTTTGCTGCCATGATTGGAAAGATTAATACACAACATAAAGACTTAAAGCTTTCTTAAAACTTTGCTGCCATTATTAAACAGATTAATATACACGTAAAGACTTAAAGCTTGCTAAAAACTTTGCTGCCATGATTGGACAGATTAATACACAACATAAAGACTTAAAGCTTTCTAAAAACTTTGCTGCCATGATTGGACAGATTAATACACAACATAAAGACTTAAAGCTTGCTAAAAACTTTGCTGCCATGATTAGACAGATTAATACACAACATAAACACTTAAAGCTTGCTAAAAACTTTGCTGCCATGATTGTACAGATTAATACACAACATAAAGACTTAAAGCTTGCTAAAAACTTTGCTGCCATGATTGTACAGATTAATACACAACATAAACACTTAAAGCTTGCTAAAATCTTTGCTGCCATGATTGGACAGTTTGATACATAACATTAAGGTTTAAAGCTTGCTAAAATCTTTGCTGCCATGATTGAGTTGATTAACACACAAAATTAAGGCTCGAAGCTTGCAAAATACTTTGCTGCCATGATTCAGTTGATAAGTACACTATCAAGTCTTACGTTACTAATATAAACGATGATACTGTTCCACATATATGGGATAAAGCTTGTATCAGAAAAGGACGGTGATAAATTAAAAATTCATTTTACTTTTTACATTTATACGTCACCTTTTGTATGTAAAGAAAGCAAGAAAAAAAACATTTCAATTTTGAAATCATATCACATACAAATGTAGTGAAAATTATAAAAAAAAATGATCATGTTTGTTTATAATCTTTTCAGATGCAATTTTACCTAGAAAAGCAGGTAAGATATTTAGTATTTGTTTATTATTTATAGTAGTTATCTATACGATGTCACAAAAGCAGGGGTTCGCATCCCGCTCAGGAAAGAACAAACAAATTAGCTAACGCAAATTTGCAGATCTAACATTGTTGGGTTAATTTGAGACAACTAGATATATATCAGGTGTTTACCACGGGTTATCCGATGGATAATATTTTTCATAAAGTTGTTATATGTTTAGATGCTAAAAAAAACCCCACTGTACTCTTCAATGGATATACAATAAACTGTACGTACTACCGAACGGTCTGTAATCTTCAATGGACATACAATAAACTGTACGTACTACCGAACGGTCTGTACTCTTCAATGGACATACAATAAACTGTACGTACTACCGAACGGTCTGTACTCTTCAATGGACATACAATAAACTGTACGTGCTACCGAACGGTCTGTACTCTTCAATGGACATACAATGAACTGTACGTGCTACCGAACGGGTTGTACTCTTCAATGGACATACAATAAACTGTACGTGCTACCGAACGGTCTGTACTCTTCAATGGACATACAATAAACTGTATGTGCTACCAAACGGTTTGTACTCTTCAATGGACATACAATTAACTGTACATACTACCGAACGGTCTGTACTCCTCAATGGACATACAATAAACTGTACGTGCTACCGAACGGTCTGTACTCTTCAATGGACATACAATAAACTGTACGTACTACCAAACGGTTTGTACTCTTCAATGGACATACAATAAACTGTACGTACCACCGAACGGTCTGTACTCCTCAATGGACATACAATAAACTGTACGTGCTACCGAACGGTCTGTACTCTTCAATGGACATACAATAAACTGTACGTACTACCGAACGGTCTGTACTCCTCAATGGACATACAATAAACTGTACGTACTACCGAACGGTCTGTACTCTTCGATCGACATACAATACTTGTTGCATTGATGGATTAATGTTGTTTCTTTCTGACAGTTGTCATCTGAACTCGATCTTTTCTAAATTTGAAAAAGTGATACCTGCCTCGACAAAGGAGAATTTATAAATTCAGATTCGTCAGCGATATGCATTATTCAAAACAAATAATCAAAATTGTTAGTAGATTTATTTGTAAAATATGACATTAGGGAGCTGCCATTTGATTTTTATGGGGTGGCTAGGATGAAAAATTTTTTGCTTGCATTTTTTTTTAGTTGTAATCTCTGTCCTGCCTTTTTATTTTTCACTCTATTCGGTCCTGCCTTTTTTTTTACTCAAAACTCCTGTCCTGCCTATTTTTTTTCAAATTTCATCCTAGCCCCCCCCCCCCCCCCCCATAAAAATCAAATGGTAGCTCCCTTAATAGTTTATTCAAAACTCGAGTTACTTAATTTAGACAATCTTGTGTATTGCGAGCCTAAAATCCCGCAGTTTTGTAGCTGTGGAACCGTTACTCCTATGGTGCTTATGGTATATATTTTACAATTTGCGGATCTTAGTCCGCAAATTGTCAAAAATATCGTAAAACTTTAAGCGTTGCGGATCCGTAGTTAGCAGTTTTGAATCTGATTGAGGCAGACAAAACTTATTTTTCTTTTTCAGAAATAAAAATATCCGGAACTGAGTTTCCAGAAAAAGGAAGCTCTATCAAACTATTTTGTAATGCCACGGGTACTCCGAACCCTCCTGATGATATACAGTGGTTTAAAGACGGAGAAAAACTTTTTTCAGACCCGTATGAAAAAATATACATTAAAAAACATTATGCCCGGAATGCTGGTGTTCTAACTAGTTCTTTAGAAATAAAAAGTTCAAAAATTGACGACAATGGGACCTACATCTGTCGAGCCACAAGTCACAGTCAGGATGATCTCATTACTAAGATGAAAGTCAATGTTTTAAGTGGTAAGTTAATTTGCAGGCAATCGGCCATTGCGATGTAGTTTAACCAGTATTCTTTTACACAATAAATTTTCATCGTTGAATATCATATGATACAAATAAAAAATATGCACTAATGATAATAAAAATTCACAAAATTACCTGTTAGATTTATTCACAGTGCATAGATTTGTGAATTCTATTTTTAAACGTATCATTGTAATAGTGTCAAAACTAAATAGGATACAGAATTTAGATAGAGGTAAAACATGTGTGCCCGGGACGGAGAGACATACGTCTTCAACATTAGTCCTTGTGTCAGTCCATACGTCAGTCCTTGTGTCAGTCCATACACCAGTCCTTGTGTCAGTCCATACATCAGTCCTTGTGTCAGTCCATACGTCAGTCCTTGTGTCAGTCTATACATCAGTCCTTGTGTCAGTCCATACATCAGTGGCGCTCTGTCAAACCTTTCTCCTCTTGAAACGTTCGTTTGTAATTAGGATTGTTTATCATCCTGTGGTGTTGACCATACAATTTAAACGATTTTTAATTTTAGTATGTTTGACGAGGGATAATTTCTTTTAAAATGCTTTATACAGTTTGCTTTTATAATTTGCGGATACTATTGTGCTGTTACATCACTGTCCCAGGGTAGGTGTGCAGCGCTCATAAACAAGTAAAACCCGCTGCATTTTTTATGTGCCTGTCCCAAGTTAGGAATCTGTTATTTAGTGTTTGGTTGCTGTCATCCGTGTTTCCTTCATTGTTGTAGTGTGAATCAGACCATGAACTCCCCTTTTGAATTGGTTTACATTTTTTCATACTTTGGCACTTCAAAGCGTACTATTAATTCTGTTGTTTTGTCATTATAGAAATATCAAAAGGTCATATATTATACCGTCATTTGGATTGATATTGTCATTATAGAAACATCAGAAGGTCATATATTATACCGTTATTTGGGTTGATATTGTCAATCATAGAAATATCATAAGGTCATATATTATACCGTCATTTGGACTGATGTAGTCATTATAGAAACATCAGAAGGTCATATACTATACCGTCATTTGGATTGATATTGTCATTATAGAAATATCATATGGTCATATACTATACCGTCATTTGGATTGATATTGTCATTATAGAAATATCATAAGGTCATATACTATACCGTCATTTGGATTGATATTATCATTATAGAAATATCAGATGGTCATATACTATATATATTGTCATGTAGATTGATATAGTCATTATAGAAATATCAGAAGGTCATACACTATACCGTCATTTGGATAGATATTGTCATTATAGAAATATCAGAAATACTGTAATTTGGATTGATATTGTCATTATAGAAATATCAGATGGTCATATACTATATCATCATTTGGATAGATATTGTCATTATAGAAATATCAGAAGTACTGTCATTTGGATTGATATTGTCATTATAGAAATATCAGATGGTCATATACTATACCGTCATTTGGATAGATATTGTCATTATAGAAATATCAGAAGTACTGTCATTTGGATTGATATTGTCATTATAGAAATATCAGAAGGTCATAATTATATTATACCGTCATTTGGATTGATATTGTCATTATAGAAATATCAGAAGTACTGTCATTTGGATTGATATTGTCATTATAGAAATATCAGAAGGTCATATATTATACCGTCATTTGGATTGATATTGTCATTATAGAAATATCAGATGGTCATATACTATACCGTCGTTTGGATTGATATAGTCATTATAAAAATATCAGAAGTACTGTCATTTGGATTGATATTGTCATTATAGAAATATCAGAAGGTCATATACTATACCGTCATTTGGATTGATATTGTCATTATAGAAATATCAGAAGGTCATATACTATACCGTCATTTGGACTGATGTAGTCATTATAGAAATATCATAAGGTCATATATTATACCGTTATATATTTGGATTGATATAGTCATTATAGAAATATCATATGGTCATATACTTATGTCTATATCGTCATTTAGAATGATATTGTTTTTGTAGGAGTTGTGGGAGTGTATCGTCTTAATTGACTTAGAAAGCATCTAATAAAATATTTTCATTTTTCTATCAATACCATTAAATGGTGAGGTCAAATATATAAATGCCTTATTGCGTTGTTGGTATATTTGCTTTTGTTCCGCAGTTAACTCTTGAGACTTATAATTTCAATAACAGAGCTTATACGGACATTTCGCACAGCCATAGCAATCTTGTAGGGTACATAACACAGTGGAAAAGATATCAAGCTGTTAAATAACAGATAAACGAAAGTCCGTGGTCCAAAAGAAAACAATTTCAGAAAAACAGTCCACAAAACAGATAGAAATATAAATAAATTATCAAAACACCAAAAAGAATACAAAACGATTGAGCGACTTGAACCACATCTGCCGTTTTCATTTAAATAATTAAAACTATTTATGCACATACAAAAATTATCGCTGATCTGCATGTACAATCTGCAACTATATCGATTATGACACTTCAAGCATCTGCTTCATCACTTCTTGAAAAATTCAGATGTAAAAGCCATTACCATTATCAAAACTTTGAACGATATTTATAAATGAAATACTAATGGGATATGCATCTTTAGTCATCAAATCGCATGCAGTATATTATCCATCCTAAAAGTTAATCTAAATTGATTAAATGTATTTGATATGACGTTACTAGAACATTTTATTCATAAGTTTTTTTTTATTCTAACAGCAGGTTCCAACTATGCAAAAAGAGGTAAGTGACGAAATAATTAAATAACAAATTAGGTAACACACTACTGTTATCAATGTTGTGTAGTGTGAAACTAAGCTGCACTATGATCATACAAGACATTAAAGTGTAAAACTAAGCTGCACTGAGATCACACAAGACATTAAAGTGTAAAACTAAGCTGCACTGAGATCATATAAGACATTAAAGTGTAAAATTAAGCTGCACTGAGATCATACAAGACATTAAAGTGTAAAACTAAGCTGCACTAAGATCATACAAGACATAAAAGTGTAAAACTAAGTGGCACTATGATCACACAAGACATTAAAGTGTAAAACTAAGCTGCACTGAGATCACACAAGACATTAAAGTGTAAAACTAAGCTGCACTGAGATCATACAAGACATTAAAGGGTAAAACTAAGCTGCAATGAGATCATACAAGACATTAAAGAGTAAAACTTAGCTGCACTGAGATAATACAAGACATTAAAGTGTAAAACTAAGCTGCACTGAGATTATAGGAGACATTAAAGTGTAAAACTAAGCTGCACTAAGATCATACAAGACATTAAAGAGTGAAACTAAGCCGCACTGAGATCATACAAGACATTAAAGAGTAAAACTAAGCTGCACTGAGATCATACAAGGCATTAAAGAGTAAAACTAAGCTGCACTGAGATCACACAAGACATTAAAGAGTAAAACTAAGCTGCATTGAGATAATACAAGACATTAAAGTGTAAAACTGAATTGCACTGAGATCACACAAGACATTAATGTGTAAAACTAAGCTGCACTAAGATCATATAAGACATTAAAGTGTAAAACTTAGCTGCACTAAGATCATACTAGACATTAAAGAGTAAAACTAAGCTGCACTGTGATCACACAAGACATTAAAGAGTAAAACTAATCTGCACTGAGATCATACAAGACATTAAAGTGTAAAAATAAGCTGCACTAAGATCATACTAGACATTAAATTTTAAAACTAAGCTGCAATGAGATCACACAAGACATTAAAGAGTAAAACTAAGCTGCACTAAGATCACACAAGACATTAAAGTGTAAAAATAAGTTGCACTAAGATCATATTAGACATTAAATTTTAAAACTAAGCTGCACTGAGATCACACACGACATTAAAGAGTAAAACTAAGCTGCACTGAGATCATACAAAACATTAAAGTGTAAAAATAAGCTGCACTAAGATCATACTAGACATTAAATTTTAAAACTAAGCTGCACTGAGATCACACAAGACATTAAAGAATATAACTAAACTGCACTGAGATCACACAAGACATTAAAGTGTAAAACTAAGCTTCACTGAGATCATGCAAGACATTAATTTATGTGTCGAATATAAACGAACCCAGCAGAAGGAACCGTATCATTTGATCTCTTGACATTGTATATGTATATAATGAGATGTATTCGGTCGATGCATGTCTCCTTGACCTCTATATCTCTTAATGTATTCAAAAGAGAACATATCCGTAACACACAACAGTAAAACAAATAGATATTACTTTGTATGAAGCCTAAAACTGGAGTATCATATACAATAATTGTATGAAGCATAAAACAAGAATCATACACAATAATTGTATGAAGCCTAAAACTGAAGTATCATATACAATAATTGTATGAAGCATAAAACAAGAATCATATACAATAATTGTATGAAGCCTAAAACTGGAGTATCATATACAATAATTGTATGAAGCCTAAAACTGAAGTATCATATACAATAATTGTATGAAGCCTAAAACTGAAGTATCATATACAATAATTGTATGAAGCATAAAACAAAAATCATATACAATAATTGTATGAAGCCTAAAACTGGAGTATCATATACAATAATTGTATGAAGCATAAAACAAGAATCATATACAATAATTGTATGAAGCCTAGAACTGAAGTATCATATACAATAATTGTATGAAGCCTAAAACTGGAGTATCATATACAATAATTGTATGAAGCATAAAACAAGAATCATATAAAATAATTGTATGAAGCCTAAAACTGAAGTATCATATACAATAATTGTATGAAGCATAAAACAAGAATCATATACAATAATTGTATGAAGCCTAAAACTGGAGTATCATATACAATAATTGTATGAAGCATAAAACAAGAATCATATACAATAATTGTATGAAGCCTAGAACTGAAGTATTGTATACAATAATTGTATGAAGCCTAGAACTGAATTATCATATACAATAATTGTATGAAGCCTATAACTGAATTATCATATACAATAATTGTATGAAGCCTAGAACTGAAGTATCATATACAATAATTGTATGAAGCATAAAACTGAAGTATCATATACAATAATTGTATGAATCCTAGACTGAAGTATCATATACAATAATTGTATGAAGCCTAGACTGAAGTATCATATACAATAATTTTATGAATCCTAGACTGAAGTATCATATACAATAATTTTATGAAGCTTAGAACTGAAGTATTGTATACAATACTTGTATGAAGCCTATAAGTAAAGTATTATATACAATAATTACACAGATCGTAAATGATTGATTATAGGCAGAATTTTATGAACAACTTGCAATTCAGATAGCATTCAAATTCAATACAAGAAATATACTGTTTCAGTATAAAATTCATCAACTTTGATCTTTTTTTCAAAATAGCTACTAATGACACACTTATAATGATATATTGTGGGTACACTTATAATGATATATTGTAGGTACACTTAAAATGATATATTTTGTAAGTACACTAATAATGATATATTGTAGGTACACTTAACCATACAACAAGGCCGGAAAGTGTAGACCCCCGTGATGCAGCTAGATTTTTAAGTTCAACAGCTGGATTAATTTGTACTGTTCTCTTCATTCAAGTCATTTTACACGTCGGTGTGCTATCATGATGGTTAGACAAAACCGTCCAATAAGAGATAGTTCTGTGATTCTGGTCGCTTGAATGGTGTTATGTAAAACGGGTTTATTTGTAACAGAAACGCATCAACATTCTATTTTTTAACATTTCAATCTGCTTGTAGGCATTTAGATAGAACACGTAGTTCTAGGTTGTATAGTAATATTGGTTACTGTACAACGCAACAATAATGAAGATAATGGTATAGTTCTAAATAGAAAGGAAAAGTACGCATGTTGTATTTCACAAATCTGTGAGGACTTTTATTTTCTACAATTTAGTGCATCGTATTTTATTATACATTTGTAGTCAGTTTAGAAATAGTCGAAAGACTCAGAACAAACCAGACTTCATGTCAATGGCAAACTTTATTAGACAGAACAAACCAGACTTTATGTCAATGGCAAACTTTATTAGACAGAACAAACAAGATTTCGTGTCAATGGCAAACTTTATTAGACAGAACAAACAAGACTTCATGTCAATGGCAAACTTTATTAGACAGAACAAACCAGACTTCATGTCTATGGCAAACTGTATTATACAGAACAAACCACACTTCAAGTTAATGGCAAACTTTATTAGACAGAACAAACCAGACTTCGTGTCAATGGCAAACTTTATTATACAGAACAAACCAGACTTCATGTCAATGGCAAACTTTATTATACAGAACAAACCAGACTTCGTGTCAATGGCAAACTTTATTATACAAAACAAAGAAGACTTCGTGTCAATGGCAAACTTTATTAGACAGAACAAACCAGACTTCATGTCAATGGCAATCTTTATTATATACAGAACAACCCAGACTTTATGTTAATGGCAATCTTTATTAGACAGAACAAACCAGACTTCGTGTCAAGGGCAAACTTTATTAGACAGAACAAACCAGACTTCATGCCAATGGCAAACTTTATCATACAGAATAAACAAGACTTCATGTCAATGGCAAACTTTATTATATATTTTCAATGTCACAATTTATGCATATACTTAGTTTAGAAAAAAAAATATGTAATATTTGTCGATTAACTACTCATGACATGTACCATATTAGATCTAAATATCATGTATTCATGTTCATGTCATTATAACACACACATTTCATACGCATTAGTTGGTACTTACTTTTTTTCTAATGTAAATACTATTCAAATGTTCATAGCATTATAATTGCTTCATTATATTAACACTTTAATGTGAAATGAGTTTGATAAACGCTTTTAAAACTACATGTACATACATCTATACAACATATTTGTTTTTGCTTGCTGTGAATGATGAACACTTTTATGTACATGCATATGAATGAGTGTCGAATGATAAAAAAAGAAAATCTAGTCTTAAAATGTATTCTACAACAATAGAAAACAATGTATATATTTTTGCAAGATTTTATTTCTCTGAACATAGAAAAGTTATCAATAAGTTTAACTTAAACTATCAATGTCATAAAAACCCCTACGTTATAATAACTAATGACAACAAATATCAATGTCATAATAACCCCTACGTTGTAATAACTAATGACAACAAATATTAATGTCATAATAACCCCTACGTTATGATAACTAATGACAACAAATATCAATGTCATAATCACCCCTACGTTATAATAACTAATGACAACAAATATCAATGTCATCATTACCCCAAACGTTATAATAACTAATGACAACAAATATCGATGGCATAATTTCCCCAACGTTATAATAACTAATGATAACACATATCAATGTCATCATTACCCCAAACGTTATGATAAGTAATGACAACAAATATCGATGGCATAATTACCCCTACGTTATAATAACTAATGACAACAAATATCAATGTCATAATCACCCCAACGTTATGATAACTAATGACAACAAATATCGATGTCATAATCACCCATACGTTATAATAACTAATGACAACAAATCTCAATGTCATCATTACCCCAACATTATAATAACCAATGACAACAAATACCAATGTCATAATTACCCCTACGTTATGATAACTATTGACAACAAATATCAATGTCATAATTACCCCAACATTATACTAACTAATGACAACAAATATCGATGTCATAATTACCCCAACATTATAATAACTAATGACAAAACATATCAATGTCATAATTACCCCAACATTATACTTACTAATGACAACAAATATCAATGTCATAATTACCCCAACATTATAATAACTAATGACAACACATATCAATGTCATAATTACCCCAACATTATACTTACTAATGACAACAAATATCAATGTCATAATTACCCCAACATTATAATAACTAATGACAACAAATAACAATGTCATAATTACCCCTACGTTATAATAACTAATGACAACAAATATCAATGTCATAATTACCCCTCCTTTATAATAACTAATGACAACAAATATCAAGGTCATAATTACCCATACGTTTTGATAACTAATGACAACAAATATCAATGTCATAATTAACCTTACGACGAACAGCGGTATACTACTGCTGCCTTTATTTATGATAAATAATGACAACAAACTACGAAATTGATTTATGTTTGCTGAAAAAGAGAAGTAAATGCAAGACCTTTAACTGTAAAGTTATTCTTTTCATATTTATTTGGCGTAATAATCTTGTACATTGTAATTTTGGAAAAATCCTTTTAATATTTTGTTATCTTGATTTAGAAAAAAAAAACAAAAAGGCTTCAGGAATTTAATATACATTCATGTCCTTAACTTTATTCTTCTTTTCTGAGGACAACCATACAGTCAGGGGCTATGGAAATACGGTGCTATAGAATAAAGAGAAGCGAAATAAGGGGTTGTATAATAAAGGGCAATGGAATAAGGCACTATATAAACAGTGCGTTATATTAATAGGTCAAATTGCTATAGAAATGAGGGACTATAGAAATACAGGTATATAGAAATAAAAAGGGAATGTAGAAATCAGAGGCTTTAGAAAAAAAGGCTATAAGATATAAGCCTATCAAATGAAAATAAAGGGCTCATCGAAATTAAAGCCAAAGAAAACAGAAGCTATAGAAATAAGGGTTATTGAAATAAGGGTCGATAGAACTTATAAAAAAAAAGAACTCTAGAAATAAATAATTATTAAAAAAAAAGGGTATTGAAAGAGGGGGCTATGCAAATTAGGGGCAATAGAAATTAGGGATAAAGAAAAAAAAAGGCTATAGAAATCAATGTTATTCATAAGATAAGGGCTATAGAAATAAAGATTCCTGAAATAAAGGGCTATAGAAATAAAGATTACTGAAATAAAGGGCTATAGAAATTAAGAGTAATGAAATAAGGGAATATATAACTTGCAATAAACATGATAAAGAAATAAAGATAATTACAATAGAAATAATACGGGTAAGACATGCTATTTATTTTGTTTTTTGTTTATTTTTAATTTGATGTAAAAAATGTGGCTTAGTATATTATTACTTTGACATTAAAACAGTTTAAAGTATTGCAGTCTGTTGATGCGACATTGAACATGAATTATAAGATAATTTAAATCCTAATATGATACAATATATTAAATCCGTTTTTATAAGCCATATCAACATAGCTCACTTGAAATGCAACGATTTTCTGCTTAAAGTTTTCAATTATTTTATACAAGTTACACCTTCTTTATTGTTGTAATAGACAAATCGCCAATCTTACATCTCCATGTCTTTATTGCCAATCTTACATCTCCATGTCTTTATTGCCAATCTTACATCTCCATGTCTTTATTACTAATCTTACATCTCCATGTCTTAATTACTAATCTTACATCTCCATGTCTTTATTACTAATCTTACATCTCCATGTCTTTATTACTGTAAATTCAGAAATTATTAAGAGGTTTTCATTAATGCGCATAATGCGACTGGGTGGGAATCGCAATAATAAGAACTCACATTCTTATATCCGATACATATAGATGTATGCAGGTTTATCTGAAAACGCAATAATTAATCTCACATGTTTGTTCTTTCTTTAACAATCGCAATAATAAATGCATGCAATAATTTCTGAATTTACAGTACCAATCTTACATCTCCATGACTTTGTTACCAATCCTACATCTCCATGACTTTGTTACCAATCTTACATCTCCATGTCTTTATTACCAATCCTACATCTCCATGACTTTGTTACCAATCTTACATCTCCATGTCTTTATTACCAATCCTACATCTCCATGTCTTTATTACCAATCTTACATCTCCATGTCTTTATTACCAATCCTACATCTCCATGACTTTATTACCAATCTTACATCTCCATGTCTTTATTACCAATCCTACATCTTCATGTCTTTATTACCAATCTTACATCTCCATGACTTTATTACCAATCTAACATCTCCATGTCTTTATTACCAATCTTACATCTCCATGTCTTTATTACCAATCTTACATCTCCATGTCTTTATTACCAATCTTACATCTCCATGTCTTTATTACCAATCTAACATCTTCATGTCTTTATTACACTTTTTGATTTATTGAACTTCAGAGTAAATTTCTTTTATCTACCATGCTTAAACATTTTAATTGACTATTTACCTTGTCAAGTAACATTTATTACATATTTTTCGACCTATAACAGAGGAATCGATTGTTCTACCTACAAAAGATAAATTGATTGTCCTACCTACAACAGAGGAATCGGTTGTCCTACCTACAACATATACCTCCAACAGAGGAATAGATTGTCCTACCTACAACAGAGGTATCGATTGTCCTACCTACAACAGACGAATCGATTATCCTATCATTAACAGAGTAAACGAATATCCTGTCTACAACAATGGAATCGATTATTCTACCTTCTACAGAGAAATCGATTGCTCTACCTCCAACAGACAAATCGATTGTCCTATCTATAACAGAGTTATCGAATATCCTATCTATAATAGAGGAATCGATTGTCATACCTACAACAGACGATTCAATTGTCCTACCTACAACAGAGGAATCGATTATCCTACTGACAGAAGACGAATCGATTGTCCTACCTACAACAGATAAATCGATAGTCCTACCTACGACAGATACATCGATTTTCCTACCTATAACAGAGGAATCGCTTGTCCTACCTACAACAGAGGGATCGATTGTCCTACCTACGACAGAGGAATGGAGTGTCCTACCTACGACAGATAAATCGATTGTCCTACCTACGACAAATAAATCGATTGTCTTAACTCAGACAGATTAATCGAATGGTCTACCTACGACAAATAAATCGATTGTCCTAACTCAGACAGATTAATCGAATGTTCTACCTACGACAAATAAATCGATTGTCCTAACTCAGACAGATTAATCGAATGTTCTACCGACGACAAATAAATCGATTGTCCTAACTCAGACAGATTAATCGAATGTTCTACCTACGACAAATAACTCGATTGTCCTACCTACGACAGATTAATCGATTGTCTACCTACGACAAATAAATCGATTGTCCTAACTCAGACAGATTAATCGATTGTCCTACCTTCAAAAGAGGATTTGGGTGTTCTACATATAACAAAGAAATCAATTTTCCTATTTATAACAAAGCACACAATATCCTGCTTACAACATAGGAATCAATTTTCCTATTTATAACAAAGCACACAATATCCTGCTCACAACAGAGGAATCGATTTCAATATATTTTTATTTAGTTAATAAGTGTTATTTGTTAAGAAGTGCTTATTTCAATTTTGTCACACAATTGTTATTTGTTAAAATTTGTTATTTTCCCTACAGTTTTTATTAAAATAAAAAATAAAAATACTGTTAAGATTAAGTTTATTAGTATCAATTCCATTCCAATGTTGATATAATGTACATTTTGTGTTCGTAAATTTCAACAATTATAGTAACCAGCAATTGGCTGAAAAGTCTAATTAGGTTTAAATCAAACAAGAAAACTGGCCATATTTTTTCATTTGTAATTCGAGCCGATAAGCAGATAATTAAATGATTTTGTCCTGTGATCAATCATGCTTAAGGTTCCACTAAAGTCAAAATAGAGGACACTTCATAAACATCTAAATTTTGCCTGTATTTTTCAACCTATAATGAGTAAAGTCCAAACTATGAGAACATATGTTCATTTAAACATACTTAACATATACACACTGTGTAAATTGTAAATAAACTTGAAATTGTTTTGCTGTGGTCAAACCGGTTCTTGGGGTGAACACTAAATTTTCAAAATAATCTGGAGGCCTGCGAGACGACTTAATTTGCTTAAAATTGGTATGGACGAATACTGTTACATGTAATGCAGGGCAAGCTCATGTTGATTTGTCACATGTTTTAATGGCATATTTGTCCAATTTCTGTATTGTAACTTCGATATTTGTTCACCTAGATACATGAAATTAACTGAAACTCGAAAATCAATACATTTTCTGAAAAAATCAACATGAGCTTGCCCTGCATTAGATATAACAGTATTCGTCCATACCAATTTTAAACAAATTAAGACGTCTCCCAGGCCTCCAGATTGTTTTGAAAATTGACAATTTCAAGTTTATTTACAATTTACACAGTGTGTATATGTTAAGTATGTTTAAATGAACATATGTTCTCATAGTTTAGGACTTTACTCATTATAGGTTGAAAAATACAGGCAAAGTTTAGATGTTTATGAAGTGTCCTATATTTTGACTTTAGTGGAACCTTAAGCTCGTTATAGTACTATTGTAAACTTCTTGACTTGTCATGTGGATAATAACAAGTTTTTTGTCCATGAGATAACAATTATTGCTCGAGTCAAAGCCGAGGGAAATAGATAAAATCGAAAGGGACAGCACAATTGCTAATATCCTCATAACCAATCATGAAAGTGTTTTATCATACTGAACGAGCCAACTTTCAAAGAATCTAAAATATGATATCCCATATGTCTAATAAATAGTCACACTTAAAAATATGACGCAGCGATATGATTGCCTATGATACAACTATCCACCAGAGTTTAAATGACATGAATGTAAGCAATTATAGGTCACAGCCAACAAGGAAACCATTTCGTACCGCATAGCAAGCTATAAAAGAACCCAACATAAAAAGACATGAAAAAATCAAAACGAGAAAATTAACAGCCAGATTTATGTAAAAAACGTTTACACGAGCATGCTAAGGTACCTGAGAAAAAATCAAAAGTTTTCAGCTTCTAAAGCGAATAAACGTCCGACACTGTTTGGAGGTTAGACATTATAATCATAACATGAATTATTCACAGACGACGACAGACACAGTGTTCAGTTTGTTTTTCGACATTTTTAATATTGTGCCTTAGTATGCGAAAAAAGTCTAGGAAACGCGAGTAGTCAATTATTGTTTTATGAGTAATAAGTACAGAAAAAGTCCGGGAAACATGATTCCTAAACTATATATCAGGGTAATAGTCTTTGAAACTAAGAGTTAAGGAATGAATAATAAATAGCTCATTTAACAATAACATGTTAATCTTCCCTGAGGCCTTCAAAAACTATTAACACAAATAGAAAAAAAAATACAAACAAAATTAAATACATGATACAGTTATATAAAGCAGCTTAAATATTGAATAAGCACATATGCATTCAATAGAAGAAAAAGAAATACATTAGATTCATATGGAAAGCCTCAGCTGTCATATATTAGAGATTTACAAAACGTTATGCTGAAGCTTAAAATGTAAAGTTAAGACAGCGTGATGTTGAATTGAGTCATCAAAATGCTAACTCTAAATTACAATATGCTAAGTTGAATTTGTGCAATGTTGACTTGCAATGACAAGTGCTTTAGTCGTGATAGTATAATGATAAGTCACGATGTTGTGATGATATGCCAAACACACGTAACGTTGGGTTTAAAGTACACGATGTGAAGTTGACGTTGCATGATGTTAGCTTGCAGATGGATACTGCTCAGTCATCCACATCGACAGCTATGATAAAAAATAAAGTGAATAGCTAAAATGTATGGTGCTGACTTGTTATTAATAAATGTTGAGCTGAGATAGTACGATGTTATATCATTGTGATATTACGATAGGTCTATCATGCAATCTGTTGATTTAAAACACCATGATGCACAGTTGAAAGTACATGATGTTAAGTTAAGATAACACGATGCTAAACCACTATATTGAAACGAAAGGCTTACCATACAATTTGTTGACTTAAAACAACACGATGCAACGTGTTAAGCTAAGATGCTCACTTGAAACTACAGGACGTACAGTTGAAATTTTGTAATGTTAAGCTACGATAGCACGATGTTATATCATTATAATGTCACAATAGGCTTATTATACAATTTGCTCATTTAAAACTACACAACGTACAGTTGAAAGTACGTGATGTTAAGCTAAGATAGCACGTTGTTATTTCATTAGAATGCCACGATAGGCTTACCACACGATATGCTCGTTTAAAACTACATGACTTTCAGTTGAAACTAGGTGATGTTAAGCTAAGATAGCATGTTGTTATATCATTTGAATGTCACGATAGGCTTACCATACAATATGCTCATTTAAAACTACACGACGTACAGTTGAAAGTATGTGATGTTGAGCTATGATAGCACGATGTTATATCATAATAATATCACGATAGGCTTGCCATACAATATGCTCATTCAAAACTACACGACGTACAGTTGAAAGTACGTGTTGTTGAGCTAAGATAGCACGATGTTATATCATTATGACGTCACGAGAGGCTTATCATACAATGTGTTGACTTCGAACTACATGATGTAAATTTGAAGTAGTTTGGTGTTGACTTCGAATATAGTACAAATATTAGATCGTTTTATGTTAAATTGAAAGACAATAACGATGCGTAAAACATTACAGAATTATGTGAATTGAGACTTCAATTCTATGGAAAAGAATGAGGGACAAATCACCGAGGATTTTTTCTTCTTCATTTGCAAGTTGATGAATATTAATGAAATTTAACTCAGGAGGCAAAATGATATACAAAGAAAGTTTTCCATAAATTCATAAAGCAAAAGAATTACCCATCGCTATATATTACACTTGAATACAGTTTTGCCGTATATTTTACATGTTTTGTTTGGATTTTTTTTTATGATTAAAAAAACAGATTTTTTTATGAACAATATTTAAGAAAATATTTATCTATGTTGTGTGTTAATATATACAACATAATATTGTGCTTATAAGACTTATGACTGTGAGGGTCAAATTTTACTCATATAAAATCACATCTATGTAAGAGTTATCGGAGAATTTGTATTTACCACTCCCGTTTTCCACGAAATAGAACACAAGAATCTGGAGTCTTAATCTTAAAAAACAAAGATCAACTGATATGACAAATAATACGCTTAGCGTAGGACTGAGAGGGTCGGAGCTATATAAGAATGTGACCCCCCGGTCTTGTTAGAGGTTCTGAAAATTTGTGAATTTTCTTTTTCACGAAATAAAACAAAAGAATCTGGACTTAATCAAAAGCGATGCGATTACGATTTCCATAGAATGTCAGAGACGGTTTGTCGACTAGTTCGTTGAAAATTCGGCTAGGCAAGTAAAGTATGTCTTTTAACAAAGCAGGGTTTATTCATATTCATATCACACTTACATGTTCTCGTCCTGATATACATGTAATATTTGCCACTGTACGTAAAACGTACCCCTTTTCCCCGAAATAAAACCAAAAAATCTGGACTTAATCAAAACCGATGCTATTTGGATTTCCATAGATTGTCAGAGATGGTTTGTCAACTAGTTTGTTAAAAATCGACTAAGCAAGCAAAATATGTCTTGTACAGCGCCAAGATTTATTCCTATTCATATCACACTTACATATTCTCGTCCTTATATGTATGTAATATTTGCCACTGTACATTAAATACAAATACGTTTTCATCAATTCTTTTTTTATGAAAAGGAGCCTATTTTTAGCACGTTCATCGATTTGACACCCTGTAATTCATGTTTTTTGGGAGCTCCTCGAAAATTTTAACACATTCCTTCTTTATTTGCAAAATCGCCAAGTGATGGGTGCCACATATGAAACAGGATCTGCTTACCCTTCTGGGGCACCTGAGATCACCCCTTTTTTGAGGGTTTCGTGTTGCTCAGTTTTTGGTTTTCTATATGTTGCGCTTAATATACTGTTGTTTGGCTTTTGATCTTTTTTCTTTAGTTTATTTCGGCTGATGAGTTTTTGTCATGACATTGTCAGTTTGGTTAAGAGTTTTACTATCCCTTTTGTATCTTTCGCCTTCTTTTATCCCATTTTGTGTATTTTTTTTCGATTCTCCCCTCCCCCTGAACAGTATAATAGATAGATAAATGAAAACAGAAATACTTGTCAACAAAATGAGCTAGATCTACAAGTAACTCGACGTGACCGAAATTGTAAATTTCTTCCTCATTAGATATATTGCCCTTAGGGTAGGTCGGGTGTCTCGCTATCTTAGGGAGCTACCATTTGATTTTTATTGGAGGGCTAGACTGAAATTTGAAAAAAGGCAGGACAGGAGTTTTGAGTAAATAAAGGCAGGATGAGCAACTTGGCAAAAAAAAAAGGCAGGATGACAATTTATGTAAAAAAAAAGTCAGAATAAACTAATAAAAAAAAAATGCAGGACCGAATAGAGTGAAAAATAAAAAGGCGTGACAGAGATTACAACTAAAAAAAGGCAGGACAAAAGTTTTCATCCTATCCCCTCCCCTCCCCCTCGCCCCCCCCCTCCCCCCCCCCCCCCCCCATAAAAATCACA